TTTTACTGCAATTTTCTAAAATTTTCGCTTGTGACAACGTGTGCACACATAAGCTAAAGAATAATTTAACACAACGACATGATTTATAGAAGAATTTGAATAATAAAAATGATTATTCATGCGTTCAACAATTACGCGGTTTTTTTTTTTGTTCTCTTCGTTGTTTACTTCTTACAATAAAGATGACGTCGAGATTTCAGCGGCTAGAAAATAACTTTTTTCTTTCTTTCCTTAAGGCGTGATCTTGTGTCTTTCGTTCATGAAAACTCCATACCTTAAATTGTTTTACAAATTCCGAATAAGGAATTCGAAATTTAGTCCAAATTGTTTTGAATTTTTCTAAATGTTGTATATAGTTTGAATCCTTGATTTTTATATGGAGTTGGTTAAAACGCCGCTGCGGTGTAGTGGTAAGCAGTGCGAGCTTTCACTCATCAGCACCTGGGTTCAAATCCTGGTCAAAGCAACATCGAAAAAAATAAAGAAAAAGGTTTTTTCTTAACAGCGGTCGTCCCTCGGCAGACTATGGCAAACCTCCGAGTGTATTTCTGCCACGAAAAACGGCTTCTCATGAAAATACAATCGCCGTTCGGAGACGGCGTAAAACTGTGGTCCCTCCGCTTTGTGTGACAACATCAAGGCGCACACCGCAAATCGGAGGAGAAGCTCGGCCAAACACTAACATATGTGTAAGCGCCAATCTATTATTATTATTATTGGTTAAAACGCAAAAAAAAAAAAAAAAAAATATTTTTTACTTGAAAAACATTGTGAATATTAACAAGAAAATCACCACGCGCTTTTTTAAGTCACTGTATATTCTTTGAAATTTTTAATAGTTTAAATAAACTCTAAGACGCAGAAAAAAGCACAAACTTCAACGCAAACTGTCAAACGGTAAATATCAGGGTTACACATATTTGAAATAAAACTTGATGTATTTTTGACTAAAATAGTGTATTTTTATAAGATAATTTTTTAGGAGTCTGGCAACTCCAAAAATTGAGCCATCTACGTCATCAAGATGGCGGCCATGGCTGATGTCGTTACCTTGTGTTCTATGAACCTTGAGTTATTATAGACAAATACAGTGACTTAAAAAAGCGCGTGGTGATTTTCTTGTTAATATTCACAATGTTTTTCAAGTAAAAAATATTTTTTTTTTTTTGCGTTTAAAATGCTGTAGTAGTTGTTTTTGAATTGCATTAAGTTTTAAGTGAGTAATCTAGCGGCATTTGTACAAAAGCAGGATTTTCAAAGAAAATCAATAGGGCCTTTCTCTATTAAGGTAACGATACATATGTACATAAGTATATACATATGTGTATGAGACATTTTAGTTACATTTTTAACATTGTTCTGTAGAAGCATTTATCTTTTTCTTTTAATTTTTAAGCCAAAAACATAACCGATTTCAATTATTATATAAAAATTTAGGACTACCGATAATTTCTTCATGATCTCATGATCAAATCTAAACCAGTATCGGACCACCCTTGAGGTACCACCGTTCCGATAAAAAAAAAAAAGTATTATCGAAATCGGTTGACGAGGTCAAAGTTATGCGCTAACATACATAAAAAATAAATATAAAATAAAATACCTCGACGAATCGATAACCTCCTTCTTTTTTTAAAGTCGGTTAAAAATAGAATAAAACTATGTAGGTCATTCTTTTTATTTAAGTCGAGTTGCTTTTTTGGAGTAAGTCGAAGCAAGTCCATGCGCTTTGACATTGAAATTATTACGCTCAATGCTCGTTCAATAATATATACAAGATTCAAATTTTGTCGTATGTGTTAGCTGATCTCTCGCATACAATAATTTTTGTTGAGATTTATAAACACTCAATTTGTATTAAAAAATGTCGTAATGTCATATGACAAAATGCGACTAAAACGCTTGTGACCTTGCACATACTATACAATTTTAACAAATATCTCGAAATCCAAAGGAGATGTCAAAAAACTGATACAGCCATTTGAAAGATCTTGATGAGTTTAGTATAACTGCATTATTAACTTAATTTGGCCCAATTTTCAGATACGACGATAATATCGACCCCTTGCGCAAAATTTATTTATTGACTTATTAATTTCAGTCTATAGAATTAGTTTCTTACAGACTAGTAAAGACTTTAATTGAATGTTGTAAACAAATTACTCTTAAATCTATCAATACTTAAGTTAAAGTAGATAACACTAGAATATGTATTGCACAATTCAATGCATCTAGCAATTGGTTATCGTATGTTACAAAAACCAAATTTTTTAAGAGTGTTTTTAGTATTTTTCTCTGCTTTAGTTAGGACCATAAATACCAAAGTTTAGATTTGCTGAGATAAATGAGAAATATTACTAAACGCAAGATTTTTTTTTTGTAGAAAGGTCTCTACATTTTAAATTCTGAGGACATATGATTGAATTTTGCCAACAAGAAAAAAATCATTGTCACATACGATATAATTTACAGTTAATTTTTGGTGTAGCTTATGGGATGCAAGCCGAAATATTTTATCAGGTGATGCGTTATGGGTTGTACAACAAAGTTGCATCAAAAAGTGAGTTTCGTAAAAAATGTAACATACGATAATTTTGCGCAAAGGGGTCGATATGTACATACATATGTATATACATTAGTCTGTCCCAAAAAACCGAAGTCGCTTTTTTTTCAACGCATACCCCTTCATTTTATTACAGTACAGTATTAGAGCATACGATTTAGTAAATCAGTGATTTTAGTTTTTATCAGCTAGTCAGGACTTTCTCCAAGGCACTATAAATTATAATATATTTCCAAAAGTTTACACAAAAGCAAGATTAATTATGACCTTTGTTTTACGGAGCACATTGTAGGCGGCACAACCCAACAGAGTTGAGTTGCTGTGCAGCTACGTTTCTTGGACCGCAGCTATCAATATGCCATGCCGACCCATGAAGACTACTATCTCCTCAATCTTACTCTGGAGTCCGTTGCAGTTGAGTTGTAGGAGTTTCGTAGCTTCGGTCCAAGAAACGAAGTTGCACAGCAACTCAACTCTGTTGGGTTGCGCCGCCTACAATGTGCTCCGTAAAGGTCGCGAGCGAGATAATGGTGGCGGACTAACGTTCATCGTACACCACACAGTGCAGTATCGGCTTATCGAAGAAGACAACGACCTGAGGGACACCACCCTAGAATGTCAGGGCATAGCTGTCAAGTCAGGCGATATCGAGCTCGAAATATTCAACGTCTATATACCCCCTGTCACCTGCTGCCCGACAGGATACCACCCTGACATAGGTGCGCTACTCAGAGGTGAAACCCGAATGGTAGTAGGTGACTTCAACGCGCACCACGATCTCTGGATCTCTGGCACTCTGGTTGCTGGAATTGGGGGAATTTGTATGCTGTTACAACAACAACAATCTCTGGCACTCAAGCCTGGCCAATGATCGTAGGGGAAATCTTGTGGCTGAGCAGCTCGCCAGATCTTACAATTGCCAGCGCTGGTCTGATCAATAGCATATCATTGCGACTTATGCAAACACTAGCATCAGACCATCTACCGATGCCTTGCTTCGTAACGAACCGCCCCCACGACACGTGAGACGACACCTGCATGACTGGAAAGCGGACATTGAGCCGTACGTAGACCATCCATTCGACGCAGCAACATACAGAGCGGCGCTCAACAGCCTACACAGCGATGCGGTCAGAACGAGCCTCAGTACGCGTAATGACAACATCGTGTTGGGCGGTCGACCGCCGCCCATAGACCCAGAAGAAATAGAGCTGCCGAGAGAGACCAGGTGCACCCTAGCACAACTCCGTTCTGGGTGGTGTCACCGACTTAACAGCTACCTCTCTCGGCTGAACACACAAGTGGCAAACACATGCCCTGCATGTGGGCAAGGTCCTCACGACACCCAGCACCTCTTCACGTGCACCTCCAACCCTACGACCCTGACACCAGAAGCGCTCTGGACCGCGCCTATCGACGCAGCCCGCTTTCTCGGCCTCAGGCTCACAGAGTCGGAGGATGAAGACGACGACACATGACAAATCTGGGGGGTTGAGCACTGCTGCTACAACAACAACAATCAGACCATCTACCCATAATCATCTCGATCAATAAGCCCACCGACTTTGCTCCCACGCCAGGTCGACCCCGGGGACCTTCGTCTGAGGGACCTTAATTTGGAGATTCGGCAACTGGTAAATCAGCATAAGCGGAAAAGTGGGAGGAGCACTTGAAGGCCTGTAACTTCACAACTTTGTTTTCAATTATCCTTTCGGTGCATGTCGAAAATGTCCTTTAAAAATATTATCCTTTAAGATTTATATCTTTGAATTATCTTGGTTTAATTAACATGCTATAAATACATATAAGGATATAAGAGGATAAAAATTACAAAGGATATTTTCGGTCAATTAATTTAAATTTAAAAATGCAGATTTACTAGAAATGTCAAATATGAGAAACATATCGAATTTTTTGCAAATCCAACGTTTTCATGGACGATTAAATCATTATCCTACGGCCATAAAACTTCATATATATGGTATTTAGGCTTAAGAGCACACATACGAAGGGTATGCATATCAAAATTTGCAAACAAATTTCTTTCCATATATTCTTGGGACAGTCGAATGTAAATACAAGAATTTGCATATGGGCATTCATATGTTGGAGTTGAACAAGTCTAGAATATTTAGAAAAAATTTATATGATAATATATATGTATGTACCATAGGTATGTAGTAGTTAAAATTATGATAAAATGCAGTCTGGTTTTACACGCCCTTAAGTACACATGTACATATGCAGTGGCCAATCAACATTTACTAAGAGTACTAAAAGTACATATACTTACAATATATGTATATGTCCATATGCACAAAATTTTATATGTGAAGTTCTATTCTCTGCTATTTTCTATTATAAGGAACTTACATGTTGTCCACTGCCGACGAAGTGACGCTTCCCTCAGTACCCTGTGGAGTTGCGTCTGTATTCACTGAAGCAGGTGGCGGTTGTTCTACGCTACCGCTATTGCCACCTCCACCGCCGCCGATACCACTGACACTACCAGTAGATCCAAGTGAGGTGCTGCTATTACTGTTTAAGTTGCTGTTTGTATTGTTCGTGCCGACATTGGAATTGTCGTTACCGGTACCACCGCCACCTCCACCTCCACCGGTCTGGCGTCCGCGTGTATCAAACGTCATATTTTCTGTATTCTTGTAGTTGGCAGAGGCACTAGCACCGCTGCACTTTATCACTTAAATGCAGCTTTTGCTACCACAGAAACAATGAACTATCAAGACGTTCGACGTATTAAGGTTGTTCAAGTCGTATATCCGCTTTGAATGGTACTTGACCAAAAGAAAAATGTTACGTTTTGCCACCGCTGGCACTGCTTTTGTTTGCTTTCCACACCCACTTTCGTGTTCCTGCAACTACTTGTTTTCGTGCCTTGTTGTTCTGCCGTCGTTTTTAAAATTTTTTTTTAATATGCAATATGATTTTAAGTGCTTGCTGGTAGTCGTTATTATTACTTTTACAGGTTCCTAAATTTGTTACTTTAATTTATGTATATTTTCAGTTCTCTTTCTTCCCTTGACCCTTTTCTAGGCAAAAATTATTTGTCTTTGTTGCGTTCAGCAAGAAGGCTGTCGGTCATTTACATATTCATTAAGGAGACGCAAAAATCCATAAACTGCAAAGAATATAAACCATAAAAGTACTCACGTTAGATCACTATTCACAATTAGTTATATGAGGAAAATTAATGGAACAAAATAGAATGATAGAAACAGCGAACTAAAAGCGAAAAATCGATACTATAGGAGACGTTAAGGTCTGTCTCAGATAATTGGACATCTGGACTTGGTGCTACCAACATACGCACGCTTTTATTATTTTGAACACCAGCTATAAAAAATGTTATGGCAGAAAAATTACATCACTCAACAAAGAAATCACTGCAACCGATTAGTGCGTACCCTCGATGAAGATCCAAACATTTCTGTTCTCACTGCTTTCAGTTGGCATTAATTTCTGCATTAAAATTTTCATTTATTCATTTTTATTTCTGTTTTTCTAAGCCCAAGCCATCGACGTCTACAAGTAATCAATTTGTTTTATACCGGTGCAAGTACATATATATGTAAATACATAGAAGATCACATTTAAAAAATGCGTATAAATAGTATGTAGTGTATTGAATATTTGTTTAACAACATACCAAAGTTCAAGTTTTACATTCATTAATTTACGCACTTCCCAAAACCAATCGTAAGCTAAAAAAATTTAGTTGCATATCGATTATTGATTTTCATTTTCATATCCCACTTTTCCTCTATTACACGTTTTCATATGTTCTTTCGCCTCCACTGCGCACTGTTCGTTGTTTACTCATCACAAGATTCCCCCCGTCATGCTGTCGAATTTTTAAACAATCAGTTTATTTGTAATATTTTAAAATGTTTACGATTATTTTTTCAGTTCTTTTTGTGATATTGTTTGTTTTTCTTCACTTTTTCTACCAGCAGATGCACAAAAAGGAAAGGTGAGAATTTCCGCGATTTTCTTTCACACGATACACGTCCGTTATCGCTCTCTCACTCTCCTATTGACTTCCACTTGCTCAATTCCTCTCGTTCATTTCCCCAAACATCTCGACCGAATTCATTTTTGCTGTTGCTTTTTTCGCAATTTCAATTTTCTTTCTTCCATACATTCCTAACTCACCATTTTTTGCATCCGCCCAATTACTTTGGACTGCAATCGGAATCCGTTTTTTCCTCGGTTTGCAAATTTGTATCGCCACTTTATGACCCTGCACCGATATCCTTAGCTCCTTTTAATACTCTCTTATTCCTTGTAACTTTTACTACAAATTAAATTATTTCAACTTTGCAGTCTAATCGAGATTTTAATTCTTTATAAACTGGCGAATTTTCTTATCCAGCAAGCAAAATCAGCCGGCCAGCAGACAAAATGGCGACTCAGCCACTATGGTGAAATTGATTTTTCTGCTCCGCTTTGATTTTTTCTTTCTTCTACCTTCGCTATTTTCACGTAATTTTTCACAATCAAAAATTGCCCGTTGTAGCCGTACTTCCTCCAAAATTTCAACAGTTTCGTTGTCTCTGGAAATTTTCTTCTTTATTTTAATAATGTTTAAGTTTTTATATTACTAGAAATTCCCTATAGTCGTTTTACAAAATCCAGTCGACAATTTTCGGGAATCGTTGCAAAAAACTTGCAGAGTTCTTTCGAAAGAAGACGTCATTTGACATTTGGCAGTTGTGAGGTGAAATTGAATTGGTTTAATTGCATACAAGAGATGCCAAGTATACGGAATCATTTTCATATTCCAATGACTTTCCAACTTTCACATGTCGTTGCGTTTGTATATGTATTTAGGCTCTAAATTCCGTCAACAAAAAACTTTCAATATTAGTTTTCAGTCTGTTATCCAAGGCGCATTGAATAGCCTTGATTATTTTTCCAAGTGGTTTGCCCTGTCCCTATGGACAGACCCTGTTGAATGCCCTGTTGAAGTTTCGCTCTTCCTGAGCCTCCACTTAGCTGAGCCAGACGACAACGTTGATGAATGATCCGAATCAAGCGGGGTTAAGTAGCAAGTAACAAGTACAACAACACAGCTTCCCACGACAATCGGGTCTACGTTACCGGAATAACCCAAATTCTTATCCGGCCACTCCAGCGAAGAAGTAATTATACTTCAACAGTTTATTACGCCATGAAATGTGCTTTGCCTATTACCGAAGAACGGAAGTATGTAAATCAAGGTAAGCGAAATTTTACAACAGGATAAAAAACTGGTAATCGATTATAAAATAACGTATGAAGGAACCCTGGAAAGAAAATTACTACGTTTATACGTAAGCTATTTGTAAATAAAAATAATTTGCAAATACCTAACTTACTGTTTATTCGATGGTGAAAAATTCTTTTTTATTATTGCCTGATTATAAAAAGGCAATAATATGACCATCTAAAAAGAAAATAAAGTTTAAAATGGCAACGTCTTGATTATAAAAAGGCAATAAGATGACTATCGAAAAAGAAAATAAACCTAAGAATGGCGGCGTCTTGCGCTTATTTGCAAATAGTACCACTAATCAATACTTATTTGCGTGATTTAGTTATTTGCAAAAAAAAAATTATCTCATCGTTTATACTGCAAATTTTACTATTTTGTAAATAGTTATTTGCAAATAATACGTGCGTATAAACGTAGTAAATGTTAGCTCTATTTGCTTCTCCGCCTCTGTATATATGTGATTTTTGACAGAAGCCGTCACTTCAGTAGCCGCATAATTCCGATAAATATACTTGGAATATGCTGCTTTTATTTGGAGACCGAGTCATACAGTTCATATTAATTGTTTAGAAAGGGTGCAAAAGGTATTTATACGATTTGCTCTACGTTAATTAAATTTTGCTGAACCATTACCATCTTATGTCTCCCGATGTCGGCTAATTAGCTTACCAACTTTGCGCAACAGAAGAACTTCTCAGGCTGTCTTATTCTTATTGGGTATTAAATCGGGAAAAATTAAGTGCCCGTCCCTACTTCAGAGAATGAGACTTCATGTTCCTGGCTGAAATTTGTGTCGGTTTGATGCTTTTAGGGTTGGGCTAAGCAGAACGGTTTATGGTGCAAATGCCCCAATAATCACACAGATAACTCTTTAGACGTTAACTTTACAAATGCTAGAGCGAATTGGGAAGAAACCTTATGACGGGCAGTAATATCTTGCGATTCTCTCTATTCTTAATCCATTGGAACCTCATGAATTTATTGTAAATAAATTTTTAAGTAGACAACTGATTTGTTATAATTGATTATCCGCTTAAATTCATATTATGAATTGTTGCAGTGTTAAAAAATTGTTGGTTATCGTTTCAAGTTCTATAAACATTTATTTAAGCTTTTAAAGTTTGCGACATACAACAGTACGACACTTACGACACCGTTGTGAATCCCTTAAATATCGGATGCTTTTATCTTAAAATATCACAATAAAATCAAAGGTGATCTTAAACTGTGGCAGCTCGAAAACCCGACTGTCAGATTTTGACATTTCCTTCACATACTCCGAAACGAACGAAAAGCGAAAAGTGGAAAAACCTACGTGTCTCGATGAAAAATCGGAAGAGGATTTATCTATACAATATTGAAAAGTCGAAAAAAAAAACATTTTTATCTAAATAAATTCTAAATTAGCAAACTGAAGTTACTGTGCAGAGAGAATTTGGGGAAAGCCAGATTTTTTCTAGAAAGTTTCCGCCTTCATCTTATTTGTCGCGGTGTTTTTATTTGTATTTGACGTATGTATGTGCTTATCCCTATTTTACATTTTCTTGTTTCGTCAGATTTTTATAAATATTGCATATTGCAGCAATACAAAATTGGATTGGAATAAATCAAAATTAATATATTTTTGGAGTCAATCAGCCTGTTGGCTGTGCGTGCTACCAACAACAACAACATGCAACTATTACTTTCGTCCATATGTCTGGCGTTGACGAGCGTCGTCATCGGAAACGCCTACTATCAGAAAAAGCAGTTCTATCCTGCGGTTGTGTACATCACTAAATCCAATGCTTCAATGGCTGTAAGTAGCAGCGTTTAAATCTTTTACTATGCAAATAAAATCGATGTAATGTATAATTTTAAGGTCATCTACATACAATTTTTCGTGATAGTTTTTATGTTTGGGAAATTGCTACGTAAGGTTAGTAAAAATATCCATTAACTTAAGTATTATTTATTCCATTCAAGAACTTCTAGATTTTTCTAGGCACATTACGAGCAGCTGAATTTGAACATCTACTTGAGCGATTTTGGTACGCACTTACGGAAACATGTCTTGCTTTTACTGTATTCCGTGATGACTTCAATCCGCGCTTTGTGGCCCTATTCACAGTGTTGCTATTCCTGAAGTCTTTCCATTGGCTGGCGGAAGAACGGGTTGATTTTGTAAGTTCCTCCGTACATAATTATTGTGATTTTTAATTCTGGAAAGGTAATATAATAACGCAAAATTCTATACAAAAAATAACATGTGCGTCTGATAGAAGAATGTTACCTTTCAAGGATTTACGTTATTAAATCGTCCCCTCAATATAACAATAGCGTATAATTTTTTTTGGGTTTTGAGAAAATCGAGTTTAAAGTTTTTGTTTTTTTTTGTTTGAAGGAAATTTTTGAACAAGAAATTATACACCATTTTTTCCAATGACATTTTGACCCACTTTGTGGAAGTAGAATTTGACGAAATTTTGACCAGACATAGAATCAATGATGGAGATTCTAAATATGCAATAAAAAAATAATGGCGTATGAGCACATACGCTATTGTTATATTGAGGGGACGAAATAATGAGATGTTCATTTTGCTTATACGTGGAAATTCTGGCATATCCCACTCTTTTCATATTGGCAGATGGAACGCTCTCCAGTTTTGGGTTGGCTTTTTCATATACGCGTCGCAAGTCTACTGTTAGTATTGGGCACATTGGATTATGTTCTGCTTATGCATGCTTACAACTCAACCCTTGTTCGTGGTCCAACAGTACAATTAGTCTTCGGTTTCGAATATGCTATATTGCTAACTGTGGTCGCAAGCACTGCGATCAAATATGTGCTACATGCTGCAGAAATGCGCACCGACATACCATGGGAGAATAAGGCAGTATTTCTCTTATACACAGAACTAGTGATTGGTCTAATTAAAGTTATTTTGTATGTACTTTTCGTTGTAATAATGTCCAAGATATATGCCTTGCCGATGTTTGTATTCCGGCCAATGTTCTTTACGATAAGGAACTTCAAAAAGGCACTAAGTGACGTTATTATGTCCCGTCGCGCTATACGTAACATGAATACACTTTATCCAGATGCTACCCCTGAGGAACTACGACTTTCAGATAATATATGCATCATTTGCAGGTACATTCTTGCAATTGAGATGTGTACCAAATATTTCATTCATATGTTTAATTAATTTTTACAGAGAAGACATGGTTAATCACTCAAAAAAATTGCCCTGTGGGCATATTTTCCACACGACTTGTTTGCGCTCATGGTTTCAACGTCAACAAACATGTCCCACATGTCGGCTAAACATATTACGCGCACCGAACGCTAACTCAACAGCGATGCCAAGGCAAGAAGATGCAGCGGGCGGCGGGGTTGCAGGACAAGCAGCTCCTGCTGCTGCGGCTGGCAGTGCTGCTGCAGCAGCGACAAATCAAGCGCCTGGTGGTGACGGTGCTCGAATTGACGGACTAGGAGTGCCCAACGCTACCACTCTCCCCGGCTTATTTGAGAATATAGCAGCTGGTAATACCGCCTCTAATCAGATACCAGGTGGTTTACCCCCGTACTCTACAACGGCACCGCCATTGAACTTTCAAGGAGTGCCAATGGCACCGCCATTTGTGATGCCTCCTCCATTCCCATTTATTGCCCCATATGCTGTACCACCACCTCCTATGCCACCGGATCTAAGCACATTGAGCGACGAAGAACTAAAAGCTTTGGAAGGAAATGAACGTCAACATGTTGAAGAACGTATCAAGGTATGTTGTTTAAATTCTTTATATTACGATAACAATAATCGTAAGTTTTTCTTTAAGCTGCTACGAAATATTCAATTAATGCTAAATGCTGCAGGGGTTCTGATGAACAACTACCAAATCATTAGTGCGCGATTGCCATCTGTACAGCCGCCACCACCAACTGTTGCTACATCAGCGGCTTCGAACAGCGAAAACGATACAAGCAATGCTCCGGGCAGCACCGCCAGCTCCAGTCTTACTAATTTAAGCGACGGTCCTAGTACGTCCGCTGCGGCAGTTGCTGCTCTAGCTGCAACACATTCTAAAACGGAACCGAAGATATCAAGCGCCAACGATGCATCACTCACAGCAGTCGCTCTTGATAAAACATCACAACCTCCGTTGCAAAAGCACAATGATGTAACTATTGAGGATATAGGCGGTGAAGAGCATGACTATAGTGTCACGCAACGTACCGCCTCCACTTCTACGGCTGCGTCTTCTTCAGCGCATACGCCAAGTGTTGACATCAGAGCTGATGATAAGGGCACTGCTATCTCAACCGAGCAACCAGAGAATGCTGAACTTAGTGAATTAAGAAAGCGACGTTTGAAATTCCTTGAGGAGCTTAAGAAATCCCCGGCGTCAACACCAGCTACTTCAACAAACGACTAGAAAAAATGAGATATATGTATTTTTCGTTTTATTTTTTCATAATTCTTGTTTTTATTGGGAAATCGATGGGAGGAAAAAAAGTAAATGTTATAAAAATATAAATCGTATAAAAAAGACGACGCGTAAATATGTAGGAGTTGTGTTTAATGAAAACGGAGGAGAAATCATGAACTGTACTGTATTTAATAACATTATATAATTAATAAAAATATACATCAACTGAAAAATATTCTCGAGTTTAAAGCTCAAACAGTCAACGACATAGGGTAGACGTAGGTTGGCGCAGACACGATCTACCTTATGGGATTCGCGTGTTAACGAAAACTCCACCGCATGGCGGTGACGTCGTTGCTTCTCTCTCTATCAACAGTAAATTTTATATGCTATACGTCAACCTACGTTTACGCAACATCGTTGACTAACTGCGCTTTTATGTGTCTCGTGAAGGGCTCTGAGATCATAAAACCGTTAAATTTACCGAGTTTGAACGTCAAATCCGGTTGATTTTGTAAATATAAATTCGCCAAAAACTTTTACAAATGGGGTGGCAGTCATCGACCAGATATAGGTGTGTGTCGTTCTTGTTACGTAGACCCGGCTGTCGTGGGAACGTCGAATTTTGTTCGATTTAACCAATTGCGAAAATTTATCTGAACTCAGTTCACTGAAATCCGGGCACTCAAAAGGTTAATGTTGAGAAAATCTGTCAAAAAGGAGGATGATTTTGACGTTTGTTTTGCCAACGTTTCGCACGTTTTTGTTGAATCGCACGTGTACTGGACCATTTGATTACAAACGGAATAATTTTTGTTTCAATTTTATAGAATACTAAAATGGTCAAAAATAAAAGAAAATCCATGGAAGAGGTAAAATGGGTCAGATTTGATGGCCTAATATTATTGTAAGTTTCAATTTTTCTCTCAAAACGCAGGTAGAAAGTGATGTCGCGGAAGATTCAATGATTGAGAACGGGACCAGCGAAGGAGATAGCGAAGATAGTATGGACGACATCAAAATCCAAGAATATATGGAAAACGATGATGGCTTCTCTGAGCGAGAAGAACTGGATTCATCTGCCAAAGATAAGGAAAAGGCGCAAAAAGAGCCCAAAAGCAAGAGAAAAGTGAAAGAGCCCATGGAAGCAAGCGTCACTACAGTGACCCAAGCAAAGTTGAAGAAAACAAATCCTGACAAAATGAAGCCACCAACGCTTGAAGAGATTAATGAGCTAAAAGAGACGCGTAATCTCTTTCATTCAAATCTTTTTCGTTTGCAAGTTAAAGAAATGTTGGCTGAACTGAAAGTTAAGGACAAATACCATAATTACGTAAATAATTGGTTGGAACATTTTAAGCAGTTTTTGAGTAAACTTCAAACACAGTCTCAGAAAGAGGATATGAATAAGCAAGAGTGGTTAAGAAGTAGTAAAATCAAACTTCCGATTTCGTTGGAAAATTTAGGAGTACAACAACTAACGGTTTTCCAATTTCAATTCGTAAAAGCGAAAGTCTCACCATATCTCATAGGTGCTGCTGCCACGCAAACTTTACTTGGCCCGAAGCTAGTCGCTGATATTTGCCTAGCCATGCCAGAAGATTGCTTTCAAAAGGAGAACTATCTAAATTTAATATATGACCAAAAACGCGCATACTATTTAACTTACATTGCAAATAAACTCCTTAGCAGCGCCGAATTCGGGAATGAGCTAACCATTGACAAGCTAAAATTCAGTTACTATAATAACAATCCTTTAAAACCGGTATTGGAGATTGCACCAACTGTAATAGCCAGAAGCAGTGGCAAAATAAACATCGCAAATAAGCTGCTTTTGCGTCTATTTATTACAGCAGAAGAAAGCTCTTTCAAACTGAGTCGCTTTGTTCCATGGAATAATAATGTGCGTGCTAGAATTTTTGGCGATGACGACGAAGAAACGCTGCCAATGGCGACACCAAATTATAACGCTGGTGTTTTATTCGATCTCACTATGCAACGAAACCAACAATTGTTGCATGGTATTTTCGATGGGAGAAAAAATTTCCAAGAAGGTCTTGTATTGTTGAAAGTTTGGTTGCGTCAACGTGAATTCGATGTAGGATTTAACGGCTTCAGTGCGCATTTGCTAGCAATGTTCGTATCGTACCTTTACAAACAGCGTAAGCTACATGTAAATATGAGCAGCTATCAAGTGGCGCGCACCGTCTGGAACCAACTGGGTAAATAATTGGATAATTCACATATATTACAACTGCAAAAATGTCTTTCAATAGCATACAGTGCATGGGATGAAGATGGCAAGGGTATTTCATTATCTGATAACTCTACTGATCTCGCTAATCAACCCACATTGGAGCAATTCCATACCTACTACGATGTTGTTTTCGTAGATGCTACTGGTTTTTATAATATGGCGGCTAATTTAACGCCAAATCTGTATCGTCGTGTGCGTCTAGAAGCGAAATTAGCGGTGGACATGTTAAACGATATGAAAATAAATAGCTTTCAGATACTATTTATGACAAAATTTCCGCTCTATAGCCAATTCGATAACTTGCTCAAGTAATGTTTACATGGTGATTTGAGAAAAGTTCTTTCTCTTTAATAGTTTCTAATACTTTTACAGAATCAATAAGAGGGATATAGTCGAGCAAATTATTGAGATGCATGTCGCACCTGCAGATAAGTATAATTTTGCTGGTTATACGCACCCATTACTACTAAAGGTCGTAGTTAGGTATGTACTTGTATATTAAAATTCACAATCATCACCATCAATGCTATAAGCTTATTTTAAGTCGGATTCATTCCCAGAGAGAGAGGCATAACAACAATCACATGCAAAAAAGTTTAGAATTAGAACGATGAATCCGCCTTTACAGGAGAATTTTTAACTTAACATAGAAAGTTAACATGGCTGTTCTAAAAATGCCATAAAATCCTGAATTGAATTTTTGAATGGGATTGTATTTGTGAGAAATGTAATAGAATATGTAAAAAGGCTTTAACGAAAAAGTATCATAGAGAGCCTTTGCATTGCTAGTGACAAAGTTCTTCAGGAAAAATGCTGCAATATAATCGATGGATATTTTTTGCTTGTTTTTTTTTTTACTTCAAAATTGTCAAAAGTGGTTAATCCATTTTGACACTCTAATATCCAAAATCAACAACTAAATCGACACCTGAGTGGAAGATAGACCAATCTCAGCAGCCAGTTCGAAAACGCCTTATCTCAGAAAACTTTTCAAGAATGCCCTACTTCAGAATTTGATTGAAGAACGCCCTTTTTCAGCATTTTATTGAAAAGCATCCTATGTCAAAATTTGGTTGAAGAATGCCCTATCTCAGAATTCGGTTCAAAAACGCGCTATCTCAGCTGAAAATGTTTTTGAATCGGCACTGAGACGGCGTTTTTGAACCGAGTACTCTGATAGGGCGTTCTTCAATAAAATTCTCGATATACGGCGTTCCTCAACCAAATTCTGAAATAGGGCGTGATTGAAAATGTTTCTAAGATAGTGCGTTTTTTGAGTACAAAACATAACATTCCAACAGTGTTTCGGGAGCTGGTGGCCTTCGGACGCCTTCAAATAAATATCATTCATCATTCCCACACCGGTTACGTCATCCACAACATTTTCAGAACATAAAAATTCTCAAATTTATTACCGTTAAGCCATATACCTTTATTTCCATGCATACAATTACGAAAAACTTAGTAAGCTAATTACTAAAATAATAATATTTAAGTAATATTTTTGTATTCACAGTCTGCTTCGAAAAGGACTTGGCGAACGTGTGCGTGCTCTGCTACCGATCGAACAGCCAACCGATGCTTGGAGTTGCACAGATAATGCGCCAGATTGCGCACGTTACTGTCATCTTGGCATTGTGCTCAATCCAGAAAAGGCTTTTGAAGTTTTAGACAAAGGTCCGGAGTCTATTGCAGAGAGCGCTAACGAATTTCGTAAGTTCTGGGGTGATAAAGCGCAATTGCGGCGCTTTCAAGATGGCAGTATTACCGAATCAGTTGTGTGGGCTGCAACAACTGACAGTCTATGGAAACGGCGCTTAGTGGTGCGTTCAATTATCGCACATCTCTTGCAACACCATTTTCAATTAGAAAATAAAGATTTTGATTATATCGCGGGCGAATTAGACATTTCTTACCGATTGACGCCTATTTTCAAAACAGAGAAAATGCATGAGAAATTTAAAGTAGAACAAGATGTAGATGCTGAAGATACTTCCCTGAATGTAATTCGAAGTTTTGATGACTTGGCGCGTAAGTTGCATGCTCTAAATGAACTCCCGCTCGAAATCGTCTCAATATCTGGTATATCGCCGGTATTTCGTTACTGTGAGCCTGTACCGATACTGCCACAAGCACGCATGATGGGCGAACAAATGTATGCTATGCAAGTGCAATATGGTGTTATACAATTGGGTAATTGATATTATTACAGCGACATATTACACAAGGCAACAAAAATCGAAAAAATGTGTTGCGGCAAATGCTAAAGCTGTTTCGTGATTAACTTTTCTGTGCTGATAACGAATCCGTGAGTATAAAGTATAAAAAAAACGAGGTCATAGTGTCAAAAAATCGCGTCTTTTGCAATATTTCAGAAACTCTAGCTAAGAACCAAAAGGCGAAGCTAGAAGTCTCGACTACTATCCCTGAAAATATCATCTGTCCACCTTGACTTGATGGTTACTTATAGTCATTTGTTGAACAGCAAAACCTGAGTTTGTGAGAAGTTTAAGCAAAAAAACAAAACTGACTTCAATTCCCTTGAAGTACATCCTTTCCGATGAAAAGAAGAATTATCAAAATCAGTTAACGTGATCCAAAGTTATGTATCCGGTAACATACATAAAAAATATTCTGACAAACTGATAACCTTCTCCTTTTTGTGAAATCGGTTAAAAAGGTAATGGAGCCTTCCACATAGGCTTAAATTGAAGCTTGAATTTTCGGCTACATACAATACATCTCTGAACCTTAACCCTAAGGGCAGTTATAACTATTCATTTAACAGCAAAAAAAAAAAATTTGGCAAAGTTTATTTTTTTTTAATAGCACAGTATTTCAGTATTTTTATATTATTCAATAAATTACTATTAGTGACAATCAGGTCAAGGGGCAAGGATAGTACTTTCAGGGATAGTAGCCGAGAGTTATAGTATTAATTTTAGCCTATCAAATAGTTATTTTTTGCTAGACTTTCT